CAGGAGGTCCGTGTAATGTTGAAGGTGAGAAACACAGCTTTCAAATCAGGTGATGTGACAGCACTTAGAATAGGAAGAGATGATTTGAGGCATGCTATAAAATCAGTAAAGCGGGCCTATAGTCAGAAAGTGCAGAATTTCTTTCAAGATCCTATGGACCTGAGACATATGTGGCAAGGTATTCAGGTAATTACTGATTATATTACTGATTACTGACATGCAGGGCTTTTTTTCCTCATAGAACGCCCAGAATGGAGTTCCGGCACCTTTTTGGGAAGGAACCTTGTAGGATAGGCAAGGCGGGTTGTATGATGTGTGTGAGTTCCGGCACCTTTTTTTTTTTTTTTAAGAAAAAAAGCACTGCTGACATGTAAGGGTGACACAGACTCTCTAAACAAGCTAAATATGTTTTTTGGATGGTTTGAGGCCACAAACAATGTTCCAGCAAGGAAGTCTGTTTCCCTTCCTGATGAGCAGGTGTTCAGGTTTGAAACAATTGCTGTTCAGAAGGTCCAGCGGAAAGTCAATACTCAGAAAGCTGTGTGTCCTGATAACATCCCTGGGTGAATAATTAAGGAACGTGCTGACCAGCTGGCCACTATTCTCACAGACATCTTCAATCTCTTGTTGCATCCATTATGATGAAATGTTTTGAGAGATTGGTAAAGGACTACATGGTTTCATGCCTTCCCCCTACATTTGACTCATTACAGTTTGCCCATCAGAAGAACCCCTCTGTAGAAGATGCACTTTCCTGTGTGCTTTATCTTAGCTTGGCACATCTAGAGGGGAAGAATACTCATGTGCGAATGCTGTTTGTGGATTTTAGTTCCGCATTCATCCCTCAGTATCTGGTGAACAAACTCGGCCTATTTTAATATTTCTTTATGTAATTGGATGCTTGATTTCCTTACTGATAGGCCCCAGTTTGTGCTAGGTGGAAAAAAGTTTCCAATTCTATCTCCTTGAGTACAGGTTCTTCACAGGATTGTATCTTGAGTTCTCTACTGTTCAACTTGATGACCCATGATTGCTGTGCCAAATCTGCTACGAATCATATTGTGAAGTATGCAGATAACACGGCAGTGGTGGGTCTTATCCGGGATGACAATGAAGATGCTTATAGGGAAGAGGTGAAGGCTCTGTGGTGGGACTGGTGCAATAAAAGTAACCTGGTTCTAAATGTTGATAAAACAAAAGAGATCATTGTAGATTTTAGAAAGGGCTAGCATAGTCATACTCCTCTCAGTATCAAGGAAGCAGCTGTAGAGGTGGTCAACAGTATTAAGTATCTGGGGGTGCAGATAATTAACAATCTGAATTGGTCTCTCCACGTGTCATCCTTAGTGAAATGTGCAAACCAGCACCTGCATTCCCTGCATCAGATGAGGAGAGCACATCTCTTCCTTCTGTCCTGGCCACTTTTTACAGAGGCACGATTGAGAGCATTTTAACAAACTGCATCACTGTCTGGTTGGGTGGCAGCAGTGCCTCAGATAGAAAGTCCATATAGAGAATGGTAAGGACAGTCAAGAAGATTTTAGCGAGCTCAATCCCTGGCAGTCAGGATGCTGCTTATAAATGCTTTGTGCTTAGAGCTCAAAGCATTGTTAGAGACCCCCACACACCCACTTCACAGTCTGTTTCTGTTGCTCCCCTCTGGGAGGAGGTTTTGAAGTATTTCTAGCAAGACTACCCAATTCTGTAATAGCTTTGTTCCCTATGCCATCTGTATGGTAAACTCGCAAGATTAGTTTTTCTCGCCATGCACATGTATACATAATCCAAATTGGATTGCGTTATTTCTCTATGTCATATAATATATGTGGGTATATGCATAATTCTGTATTTATTTATTTATTTATGTCATATTTCTGTAGTGTATATCAGAAATGGTGATCCTTTGAGAGCTGTATGCAACAAAATTTCATTTTAATGTATGCCGACTAGTGTACATTCAAAGTGACAATAAAGTTATTATTATATTCTAAATACACACTTTAGTATAATAAGAACATGAATTTGATAAATACTCTATTTTCAAATGAGAAACTTTTATGTAGGCAAGTTAGGCTGGAAAAGTCTGGTTCTCTTTCATTTCTTTGAGAGAAATGCAAGGGGGTGAAGCTTGTTTCTTTTGGGCAGTTGGGGCAGATTGTACTTGTTTAGTTTGGAAATGCCTTCTAGATCTCTTATCAATCTGAAAAAATAGATTTATGTTTAAGATTAAATTGGGAGAACTGATTACCAATCTGAGTTCTCACACTCATTTAAAATATATTATTAAAAATTGTTTGCAATTAAGGAGAGGCCTGGGTCATTAGACACTGACAAAGGGGTTGGATTCAGTGGCCCTTCCAGTTAGGGTTGTGGATGACCGGGGAGAATAAGAGGGGCACTGCCAAGGAGATAGGTAAGATAAACCCATGGGAGATGCATTATATCTTTACTTTCTATGTTTCTTATTTTCAAATGACCAAATAACTGTAGTGAAAAGTGCTCTGAACAAGAGACCCCCATATTGCAATGCTTTGTGGCAAGTCTATTTTGCAATTATTGTAAAAGTTTATCTTGATGTGCATCTTTCCTCCTTTAATGCTGAAGCAAATTTCCCGTCGACTTACACAAAGTATCCTTCTCATTTACAGTCATTTCATATTTATGAAAATTACTTTGAAAGAATAACAGAAAAATATTTGAGGGATTGTCCAATTTAGTTGTGACATTTCTATAACACACAAATCATCATTAGCCTGGACAAAACAGGAAAAAAAAGACAGAAATTGCACCGAGGTAGCCCTTTAATTGTGACTTGAGTCAAGGCAGTCCTTAATAGCATGGAACTCTCCCTTGAGATGTCTTCAATAATGTAGTGAGTGCATCATCGGTGAATTCTTTCTATTACAACTCCCAGGAAAGGTTTCATTTTCTTGCTCATATTTTCAGGATGGCTGGCTGTGAGGCTCTTTCTGCCCTGTCCTGCCCTCTTTCTTTTGTTCCAAAGCTAGAAAACAGATGCATTTTCTTTTATTTCTCTGCCAGTATTCTAAAATAAGGCTGACAATTAAGAGTGACACACATTCATTAGGTCAAGGAAATGCTACAAAACATTTGACCAAAGCAGATAGCATAATTCACAACTGCTGTGCTTACAATAATGAATCATTGCTACTTAGCAAATTATAAAATGCTTGCTGTGTGATTATGTTAAACATGTCTATAATGGGATTGATTGCACTCAATAACTCTCAGGGTGGTACATATCTATACACTTTTTAGGATTTATCATAACAGACATAGCAAGTCTGTCTTATTTTAAAAGGGGAGTGGGGAATTTGTGATCCTACACATATTCTTAGACTCAAAATCCCATCAGTTTGGATCCAAAATTGTTGCTGATCATATGATTGGAATATCTGAGTAAGAGGCAATGAACCAAAAGTTTTCAATCCATTTTATGTTGTTTACAGTACAATTCTATGCATGTATGAGTTCTATTATGCATAGTGCAGCTTATTCCCAAATAAACAGTATGAAACATAAATTAGGAAGAATTCTGATAGGTCAGAAATATGAGGCTGTAATCCTAAATATTCTTATCAGGTCATAAGCTCCATAAAGCTTAAATATTTATAACAGTATTGATAGGGCTGCAGTCATACAGAATGCAGTGTGACCTTTTGGAGTAAATAGGTATAAACTCAAATTGCAAGTTCCATTATGCAAAATTTTCTCATCCAATTTCATTTGACTTCTAGAATATCCTTGCCTTTGGTCTATTCCAAAGGAGAATTCACTTAGTGCTGTTTATCACTGGCTTTTAAACTAACAATGGGCAGCAATTTATCGATGATTTTTATTTTGTATCTAAGCATAGCATATTAATCAACAATATATTTCACTGAAGACAAATATTATGTGCTCGGTGCTTGCATAATTTATTGTGGTAAATGGAGTAGGTGTTAAATGTGCTAATTTGTGCTAAAAGAATATTAGTTGGGAATTCATATAAAAATGCAAGAAAGATTTCCAATATGCATTCATAATATGACTGATGAAAGGATGGATTTCTAAACTTTTGCAGGTTCCTCTGTTGGGTGAATTTAATATTTAACCTAACCCCAACCCTAACAGGTGGCATTTTTAAAATATATGAGTAATCAGATTAGTCCAAAAGTAATTTGTTCTTTTGATTTGGTTATGTCATCAAAAATGTTGACTAGAGAAACATTTGCATGCTAGATATTGTGGGATTCAAATTCCCTTGCCCAATGGTCAGCTATAATAGAAATTCTGCTACAATATCATTTACATGACTGGAAATTCCCCACTACATTATGTTAAAAGAATTAGTCTGACAACAATCAGTGCTTATTTAATGGGCTACCATCTGTCCCCCAGTTTTGGACACATTAATTTTGAACACATTATGCAAACACCCAGTTCCTTTAAGAAGTCCTTAGTGCCGCGAAAGGTCAAAAGAAACAGAAAAAAGAGAACAACCATCAGGAAGGATGGGCTTGACCTCAGTGGAAATGGGAATGCTTTTGGGAGACCTGAAGGGCTAGATTAGGGCCAGATTTCCTGGAGAAGGTCTGTCTACATGATGCTAAGAGTGACACTGTCTTGAGGACAGTGATGTATTAGTGATGACCCTAATGAATAATCCATACATTTATTTCTAAGTGTATTTTCATGACCACAGGTGTGCAAAGTAGCATATAACTAAGATATAGTTGAATAAAGTTGTTAAGATGTACATGAACACAATGTCTAAATATGAACATTTAACAAAAATGATTCATGCAGTGGCTTAAAAACAGTGTCCAATATTAAACATAAATACTGTACGGATATTAAAGCCTTTGATTGGCCATAGCTAAGGATATGTATATGTGCACATTCACATATGATTTCAACATCAATGGTAGTAGGGAAAAAGATGAAAGTCATTTGTTTGAAACAGAAACATGAATCAGTATGACATGAATCCAAGAGTCTTTTAAAAATTACTTTACTGTTTTATTGCTTAGTATCAAAAGAAATGAGACAATGATTAAAGGCCATTATGAATTGAAAGTAATATTAATATTTATCCTATGATGTAGGAATGAAAGAAAAATTGAACTAAGAGAAGCAGTTAAAATAGGGCAAAATCACAGTATATTGCATTGAAGTAAACAATAGCATGTACAAACAATTGTATAACATTATCTAGTCTTTGCATACTAAAATACAAGATCATTATTTGAGGAACCCCCTAATTCTGGTCAGTGGTTTGAAACCAAAAAATGATATAAAGCAGGTCAGGTAAATAGTATCTCTTCTGTACTGCTACTTTGTCATAGGCAAATGTTTATTTAACTAGTAAACTGACCGGCTTCTCTTTTCAAAAAATAAAATGCTTTCAAATGAACGCTATATAATAAATATTTCTAGCATTATAGGGATCATTTATTACAATTTTGCCTTTGGAGTGGCTTTATTTAAATGAACAAGTATAAGGAAATGGAATGGCTATCAGTGCTATGTAATACCATTCCACAATTCTGGAAAATGGGCCTTTCAAATGAGTAAATGATAAAACCATTTCATGTCCCCGAAGGCATTTACTGTGGTAGCAAATACACATCAAGATCCAGACAGATATTGAAACACAAACCAAGCGGTGATTTTCTTTTGGGTCATAAGGATCTCAAGTTAGCATTAATAAAAACAGGACACTGCTCATTCTTATCTCTCACACAAGTATGAAAGTGTATCCCAGTTCATGGTTAGCGCATATCTCAAAAGATTCTAGTATATTGTAAAATCAAACAAGCGAATCATAGATTAAAAAGGGGCCTTCTTAAGAGTCATCACACTGGATTCTCCTTAAGTGCTATGCAAATAGGTTTTGTTCAGCCTCAAAGACAATCTCTTATCCACTTGCATAAAAAAGAAATGAAAAGCTGACTCCAAACTTCAACTGGAATCAAAAGGATGTTGCTTGTATTGGGTGTCAAAACAGAATGTGAAACAATGATCAAAATTCTGTCTTTTGTCAGACGCTATTATTATCCCAAGGCAGTGTTAATTCTATTAATAGAAGCTTATATATGTGCATCTGACTTTTTATTGGATTGCAGCTGGTTTGTGCTATCAGGTGAATTGTTAAACTTTACTGTTTGAATGTTGTGTTCATTTTTTAATGTGTCCTGGTTAATTTTTCTTTCAGCCCATATATATCTGCTGATATATGCTTTTTTCATTCTGAAGGGAACTGACTACTCACAGAAACAAGCCCATGTTGTGTTTGTGTGCATGTACCCTCAAACATGTTCACATCCATGTACACACACATAATATTTAAAAATTGAAAATGTATTTAATATGTTTGCAGCTAAATTTCTTGTTTCAAACAATGTTCTTCTTTTGGTAACAACGTCTAACGAGCATCACTGTGGAAAATGTTATGCATCACTTGCATAATCAGAATTTACATCTGTAAATTGCAACTGTTGTAGATATACAAGCTCACCAATTTAACCTACCTAAAAAAAAAAACCTGCAGAAAACTTAAACCGGGTAGCAGCATATTTCCTAAACTGATGTCTACATGTTTTACTTAAGCTGCTTTTTAATAAAAAATTAAAAGTCAGAACCAAATATTATCCTGATTCCCTAAAATGGGGAACAATATTTTAAAGACTAGACTCATATTACATATTTCAACCATCAAATCACAGTAGTTCACAGGAAGTCTGAACCCTTCCTAATGAGTCACATATCAAACAACATTGACTAAAAGTTCCTACCAGTTTTCTTAAGACATCTCAACAAGATTAAAACTTAACCTTACAGGTCAGTTGCCTGTTGCCAAAGGGTAACCATTAGTAGCTTTGCTCAGGGAAAAAAAAAAAGGAAAACAAAACCCACGATCCAGTTTAATTTTTTACTTGTCTTTTTAGAAAAGCAGCCCACCCCTCCCCTAAGACTCATACCACCTTTATTTAGTTCATTCTCTAATAATACACTTTGTTATTGACCAACCACTGTTTGTTGCTTCAAAGCAACTAAATGTATGATAACAGTTGATCTTTGCAGTTGTCTCCTGATTTCCCTAGTCATCTTTAAGACACCTTGTTTGGGTAGACACAGTGCAAAATGAAGCAGACAGATCTTGCTGGCAAAGTTTCACTACTGTACTGCAGTTGCTGAGTGGGCAAATTTCAGATGTTTTCTAAGACATCTACTGGGACAAAGCCCCTTTTCTTCCCACTGTATACTTTGATAAACCCGTCGTGTTCCTTTTCTGAAGTTATGCAGATCTAAAGATAAACAATGGAGAGAACAGTTAAACATTTCTCACACTCAAACACTACTTTTATTATGGAACCCGAATAGCTGCTGCATAGATGAGACAACTTGCTGTAAATAGATTGAGCTGAACCAGGCTACCTAACTTTGCAGCCCTCTTTTAGATTTCTTTGATGTTTGCAGAGGATATGAAGTTAGAAACTACTGAGATGCTTTCTAAACATAAATGTTCAGTTCATGTGCTGTACACTGTTTTATTTATTCATCATATTTATTAGCCACTTTTCTTTTGACAATAAGCCATTTCTGTGATAAAAGCTGTTAAAAACAAGCAAATTACTGTGGCTGAGAAGTTTGCTAAGAGTTGCATAATAAATGAATTAAAACTAATTGGGATGATGGCTCAGAGAAATTCTAAACATACAATTTCAATTAGTTGCAATTTTGCCTATAAAATTATATATGGTTTGTACAACTTTAACTCCACTGAACTCATATGTTTAATTAAGCACCGAATTCTTCTTGGTGGCTTGAGATCACTGTTAACTTTTTCTCAAGAGTTAGGGGAATAATATTGCCTTTGATGGCTTATGTATTAATCTAATCCTATGTTCCGATAAGTCCAAACATAAGTTAACTACATGAATAAACACTGTAACTTCACTAGATATGTCCATTTTATATGCAAGTAACAATTAAACAAAAGCCACATCCCCAACATACCTCATACAATTCTGCAATCGTGAAGAACATAGTCTTCATCTTTGGGTGACACATGCACAACAGTGACAACTTTCTTCCAAATGTATGCTTTTAAAGTAGTTTCTTCTGCTTAGCCAATCAGAATTATTTTTACTGACAACTTGCACAAAGTACATAAAGAACAAAGAATGTCTTAAAATTCATCTGCTATCAGAAATCTGTATCTTCTTGTATCCAAATGGTACTTTAAAAATAATAAATAATAAATCCAATTTTTCCAATATTCTTTGATAAAGAAAGAGAAATCAACCCTATTTGACTCAGTTTCAGAGATGCCAATAGCAAGTGTTTTCAAAGGCTTCTTAAAATAAACTAGTTTTGAACTGATAGATTAAAACATATATATGTAAGCAAACTTAATATACATGAAAATTATGGACAGATCATATAAGAGGTATACTGCAATCTAAATAACTATACCCATAACATCAGCTACATCTTGCATGACAGCCAGTTTGGTAGAGCGGCTAAAGGCACTGGCCTAGAAAACAGAAGTCTCTGAGCGCTAGTTCTGCATTAGGCACAGAGCCAGTTGGATGACTTTGGACGACTCCCTTTCTCTCAGTCTAAAAGAAGGCGGCAATGGTAAACTATTAAATGCTGCCAAGAAAACTGCAGGATTTGTCCAGGCAGTCACCAGGACTCAAGAATGATTTGAAGATATAATAGCTATAATACCTGCTCCCTATAAAATTTGTTATCTACAAAGATGACTATTTTATTTAGTGCTTTATTGTTCTTAACTTAGGAAAAGTGCTAATATAATTGACATTCTTTTCCTTTCCCTTGTCATCCTTTCTTTAAAAATAAAGCTGATTGGCTCTTGCCTGTTCTCTAAACTTTAAATCCTCTTCGGTCCGACTGTCTTCTTTTTTTTTAAGACCTTCTATATTAGCTGCTTCTTTATCCAGGCAGACTTGCCCAATTTGTCATCCATTAAGCCAGTGGTCTCCAATCTTTCCAGCCTGGTAAACCGGCTGTGGGAGGAGCGAGGGGATGGTTCCATGCAAGCGGCAGGCGCATACAGCCACCACAAGCACAAATGGAGCATCATATGTGAGTGTGCCCACCCGCCGCAAGTGCAAATGGAGCTGTGCACATGCATGTGCTCACCCACTTCTGTGGCCCATTTCTGAATGGGCCAGTTGGGGACCCCTACATTAAGCCAAAGGAAACCTATTAGCTAAATATTATATTATAACTCACCAGGACTTAATAAATATTTACTGTTACATGGGCTTTGCATGCATTAGCCATGTAATTCTCACTTCAGACTTGAATCCAGATGGCATTTTTACACAAGTATTTATTTCCAATTCACATAGTCATATTTATTTATTAAATAGATATGTGTAATGTTTTCTGTGTCTCATTTCTAAGTAATTTACAATAAAAGTAGCAATAAAATATACTAGATGACCTTGTGAAATGATCACTGCTGGACTGAGAACTCCTGCCCTAAAAACTATGCAATTTCTGAGTGAAATTTAAATTAGTCTGGAAGTTAAGTTTTGCTATTAAGGTGTTCCTTTTCTTTTTATCCCATAATTAATTTCCTTCTGGAGTCCACTAATAGTTAAACAAGAACTGCATTGACTTAATTAAGAATGCTATGATAGAGGTATCACTCATTGGTTTTATCCTGCAGTTATGCCTATTACATGGACAGCAACATGAATAGGTAGAACTGCTCATATGTCCTAATTCCACTGTTGTCTCTGATAAACTTATTTTGTTGGGTTGTATAATGCTCAACTAGCAGAAAAGCCTATGTGACCAGAGGTGACACTGTATCAACAAAAAAGTATGTGTACCAAGGGCAAAGCTTCTCAGATTAGTATTTCTAGCTTCTGAAATCTTGCGCATTATGAACAGTTATGACAGTGATGGCGAACCTTTCAGAGACCGCGTGCCCAAACTGCAACCCAAAAGCCACTTATTTATTGCCAAGTAGGCGTGGCCCACTGGGTGGGCATGGCTGTGGTGGTCATGGCAGACTGGGTGGGTGTGACCACCTCAATGTTGCTTGTGGAGAGGGATGCCTGTGGGGGCCGGACAGGGTTAGGGGAGATCTAGGGGGTCTCTGGAGGGTGAGGTAAAACAGGAGGCAGGTGGGGCTGCCATTGCTTGGGGCAAGGCGAGGCAGCCCCCCCCACAGAGCTCAGTGAGCACATGGCGGTGGCACATTCTGGGGCTCTGCAGTCTGCTGTGAATACTGGGCCAGCCCTCCAGCAACAGGTGGAGTAGGGGAGGGGAAATGTGCATGATGAAGAAAGGTCAGAAAAGAAATGGTTTGGGAAGCGAGGCCATCTGGGTAGTGGTAGGTGGGGCAATCTCTCCAGCTCGGTGGCTGTGTGGGCAGAGCTGCAAAAAGGGCTGGGAAGCGGAGTGAAAGGGAAGAGGGTGAGTGGGTAGGTGAGGGCGGATCAGCTGCAAAAATGGCTGGGAAGCGGAGTGAAAGGGAAGAGGGTGGGTGGGTAGGTGAGGGCGGATCTGCTGAAGCCATTCTGAGGAGAAAGCAAAAAGCAGCTCCACCTCACCCAGCAATTCAGAGAAGTCGCCTCTGAGCTGGATGGCTGGCCAACAGCTGAGGAGGCAATGCAATGGGTCGTGCCCAGGAAAAAGAGAGCATGTGAGGCCAAGAAGGACAGGACAGGGAGAAGAGAAATCAACCATGCTGGGATGCATCCGGCCATGTGGGACCTCAGTGAGTTAGCGGGCGGCTGGTTAAAGAGAGGGATGGTTGTGGTTCTGCCTGCTTTATTATGCGGCATGCTGGGCAGGAAGCAGCAGTGGCGGTGATCCCTGTATCGCTAGGCCTGGCCAGCAGCAGCTCTGGAAGTGAAGCTGTGCCACCCATCTTTGCACTGGTGGGGGTGGTGGCAAGTGAAGGTGGGCTCTGGTATGCACACACCCCTCACAGCTGCCACTCTGCATCATCTCGTGCACCCCGCCCAGCCCCTTGCCATCATCTCCATCTGCTGGGGCAAAGCCAGGGAAACAGGCTGGGTGGGGTGGGGGAGCTGCCAGTGCTGCTGCCATGAGGTGAAAGGGGATCGGACCCATGCACCCACTTCCCAGTATCCTGCTGCAGCCTTTCACACTGTCCCACTGGTGCTGCGGCTGATTTTGGCAACGCTGCCGCATTAAAGCTGCGGAAGGATACCAGGAAGCGGGGTGCATGGGCTGATCCCCCTTTCCCCACAGGTTTCATCTTGTGGCAGCAGAATGGGCATTTCCCCCCCCAACCTAGCCCATTTCATCAGCTCCATTAGCAGTAGCAGCTCCCTCACCAAGCTCTGGGATCGGTCACCTTCACAGAAATATGGAGGCCCCATACAGCCGCCATCGTCCCCACAGCCACTACCACCACAGGAGGGCAAGACTGGAAACAGCAAAAGTGAAAGCGGATACACTGACTGGCTGTGTAGAGCACCACTTGAGGGAACTGCTGCCTGTAACAGAGCCAGGGAAACAGGCTGGGTTGGGGGGCAGCTGCCAGTGCCGCTTCCATGAGGGGAAGCTGGTGGGGAAAGGGAGATCGGACCCATCCGCCCACTTTCCAGTATCCTGCTGCAGCCTCTCATGCTGTCCCACTGGTGCCGCGGCCAATTTCAGCAATGCATCATGGCTGCAGCAGGATACCAGTAGTGAGTGCCCAACCGATAAGGCTAGTTCCTCTGCTGATGCCATAGCACAGGCGAGAGGGTAGCAGGGGCTCCAGTCTGAAAAAACAGCTCACCCTCTCCCACCTCCATGGACTCAAGCTCAGTCACCTTCACTGAAATATGGAGGCCCTGTATAGCCGCCAGGCCTCGCTACTGCTAAAGGAGAGCGAGAATGGAAACAGGAAAAGTGAAGTGAAAGCTACTCTGGCAAACTCTGTGCTGGGGCGACGACATGTGTACCCAGAAAGAGGGCTCTGCGTGCCACCTCTGGCATGCATGCCATAGCTTCGCCCCCACTGAATTATGAGAACAGATGAATTACTCCCTTATGAACAATATGTCTGCAAGTGGGCAAAATCTGTGATGTGGATGTTCAGATTTATCTATCATTCAATAAAGGCAAGATTAGCCTATCATCTAAATCAGTTTAAATAGAAATCTGACAAGATCCTTAAGGTTCTGAGTATCACATCAAGAAATAATCTGAAGTAGCTCTACTGATGACAGATTTTTCTTTTAAGATTGTGACAGTTCTCCTGCTTGGTTATTGTATTTGAGATAACTATTAAGTAGTCCTTGGT